CCTCGTAACCTGGAAGATGGGGGTGTGAGGCCTGGTTAAGGCTTGGTAACGAAGCAGGACGTTAGGAAGGCTGAGGATTGGGCCACTGAGTAGCATCTGAGTCGGGTTCTGGTTTACAGGCTCCAGAGCGACTTGAGTTGTTCATAGGTTCTGTGGTTGTACTCATTAGGCCCTTTGAATCTAGTGTTACACAGATGTGTGGCTTTTCCATTAGCCCCTTCGAGGCTGTTTCATGAGTACTTGGATCAATTTGTTAGCAGCTTTTCCCCAGCCGAAGCCGGGTAATGGTCCCGGTGCTTCAATAACCTGTATAATTTCTTATAGAGACAACTGCACCTGTGACTGCTGCACAGTTCAGAATTTGCAGAAATAACAGTCCACTGCAAGCTTGGGCGAAGACCAGTTAGAAACTGCAAGAAAAACAGTAAATCATGCATTAGACGGCCTACCTGTTCAATGATTGGCAAAAACGGGAGGTGGCGGTACTGGTACCGCTCTTTTCCCCATGGCCTGGCCTAGGAGCAGTTACCAGTAGCAGGCCTTCCCGTTTTTGGCTCGTTTCCCCAGGGGTGTGGCCTAGGAATCTCGGCCGTGGCCCAGCCATGGGCGTGGCCTAGACATCTCAGCCGTGGCCCAGCCATGGGCGTGGCCAAGACATCTTGGCCATGGCCCAGTCACAGGTGTGGCCTAGACAGCTCGGCCGTGGCATAAGCAGGCGCGAAAAAACAAACAAACAAACAAACAAACATCCGCAGGCTCGAAAAAAAAAAAAGAACAAAAAAAACGCAGGTGCCGAACTTAGTGCCAACGAACTGGGATAGTCCTCTGGATACTCCTGATCGGTATTAGTGGAATCTATGACCAACATGGGTGTGAGTGCGAGCGCGAGTGGGTTGTGAGTGGTGTGTGGGAGAGTGTTGGCCATAGCCACTGCGGCTAGTCGATGAGGGGTGGGGGACGATGAGAAAGGGAGGCAGAACTACTGGCTGGTCTAGGTCTTTGTGTTAGCCAGACCCCCACTGGCGGCCCCAACCCTATACCCTAAACATTAGGGGCAAGGGGCAACATGAAATCTCCCCTTCACAGTGAGAGGAAACTATGCTTGCAGGGGGCCCCTCTAGATAGCCTTAGGAGTAGGTAGTGAAAGGCAAAAACACAGAAGTTGAGAGAAGAAAAAAAAAAAAAAAAGAACAGGAGGGGAAAAAAAAGAAAAAAAAAAAAGAAAAAAGAAAAAAAAACAAGAGTGGCCGTCTGATTTTGCCACTTCCGAACTTCCAACGGCTAGAAGTGCACAAAGCTGTTCTGTTTTTGCAGTTTCTAACTGCCCTCTGCCCAGAACCGCAGTGCCCTATTTGTTCTTCCTGCGAATTTGGAACTGTGCAGCAGTCACCCGCGCAGTTATTTCTTTCTTATATTTTCTTATGGGACGCTGGGACTGGTTCCCAGCGTGTGCTGCTCCCCATGAATAGATTGGAGCATTTTGTCCCAAAAAAAAAAAAAAAAAAAGTTTTCGCACTGCCAGCATTGATTGCCCTTGATACCAGGGCAAAGGGGCAGACCGAGGGGGACGCCGCTGCCTGGGGCCCAGGGGGCGCTGGGTCCCCTGCCTTTGTTATACTCCCCTCCCCCCTTCTCTAATACTATAAAGGAAGAAGCGGGTCTCACATGACAGGCCCAACAGAAACCGGGCGCCGCCGGGCGGGCCCGCTCCGAGGCAGTGGGGCGAGGGGAAACTGGTGGCGCGTCAGTGTCGGCATAGGGTCTCGCATGACGGGCCCAACAGAAACCGGGCGCCGCCGCGCGGACCCGCTCCGAGGCAGTGGGGCGAGGGGCAACTGGTGGCGCGTCAGTGTCGGCATAGGGTCTCGCATGACGGGCCCAACAGAAACCGGGCGCCGCCGCGCGGACCCGCTCCGAGGCAGTGGGGCGAGGGGAAACTGGTGGCGCGTCAGTGTCGGCATAGCGAAAGCTGACCCGTCGGTCCGTGAGGCGGGTCTGGGGCGCTGTGGGCCTGCGTGGCGGCGTTTGGTGGTGGGCGGATGCGGGCCTGAGTGCAGTGCGGTGCGGTGCGTGGGCCTGCGGGTTTCTTTTTTTTGGCCCGTCGCGCGGGGCGCGGGGGACCAAACTACGTTATCGAAGCGTTGCTTTGCGGGGATCAATGGTGGCCGTGTGTGTGTGTGTGTGTGTGTGTGTGTGTGTGTGTGTGTGTGTGTGTGCGTGCGCGTGTGTG